ACTGCTGTAGCCTCTCTTCTTGTTTCTTTTCTCTCTCCTCCCACTACTGCTGTAGTCTCCCTTCTTGTTTATTTTCTCGTTCTTCTTGTTTCTATTGCTGTTTTTGTATTGGTGCCATAAAATCTGCTAAGTCGTAGTTTGATTTGCCACTTCTAATTTCCATCTTTTTTTTTCATCCCGCTCTCTGACATCAATTTGTTACGTATCTGTTTGTTTGTTTGTTTCTGGTAGAAATTATTTCTGAGGATCTTCAGCAATACAAGTCCTTTCTTGATTAAACCAGTTCATTCTTCTTCGATACAAACTTTTAGTGCACAGTAGTTCCACAATCAGTACGTTTCTCGTCACCTTAAACTTTTATAATACACACTATTAATCACAGCCATTCACAATCTCGATAAGTTCGTTCACGACGAGTGCAAAACATACACTTTACGGCTCACTAGCTCGAAATAAACAGAATCATAAATTACACGGAACTCAAAGTAACTACCGCTCTCTCTTCATTCATTCACATTTCCCACTGGCTTTCCCTGCCAGGCTTCTATAGTAACGAAGAGGGCATCTCAATGACACTCGGACTTCCCCAATCGTTCGAGAAACTCATCAGCGTCACGTGACTTCCGCTGTCGTAATAGTATGATAATTCCAGAACTGGTAAATGGATTGCATACAAACAAAATGGATATAGTTAGAGTAAAATAGTGGTGTTACCACAGCGGAAGTAACGTAACGCTGGTAACACGTCATGAGTCTCTAGAAGGATCATGACTGTTCCTGGCAACTCTAGTGTTTGCCAGACGCCCTCTATTTTAGTATATAAGCCCGGTAAATAAAGGGAAGATAATAATAGCAGATTGAAGAGAGATATAGAGACAGATAACTGAGTCAAGTGAGCGGTAGTGACACGAAGTAAAGTCCGTGAATCGTTGTAAATTATAGCGTGTGTTTAAGTTAAAGCGACTGCGGAAATTCTATCTATTGCAAAGTTGTATCGAGAACGAATAAACTAGTTTTATTTAAGAAAGGACTTGTATCGCTGAAGTTCCTCGGGAAGAATCTTTATGGGAAATTATCAAACGAATCAGAGACGTAACAGTGGGTTTGCCCCTGAAGAAGAAAGGTCCACCTTTCGAAAGCGCTCGGGTTTTAGGGTTTTTATTAATTATAACTGTTGTGTTAATCGATAAAACGTAAATATTTATAAAGTTTACATAAATACAAAATTTTCCCAATGTACATATTGTTGCGTCAGCGAGGTCACGTGACTTGTGTCACGCCACCCGTTTTCTAGAACTATCCTGTTCCTTCGGGAGTGCTCTAGCATTTGCTAGATTGGGGGTGGCCTGGTATATATAAGATGGTCACGGCGTGACGTATCAATGTGTGTAGGTAGTGAGTAATTGAACTGCAGTCAGAAAGTATTATTGAAGTTAACGCTCATTGTTTTAGCGCGACTGTTGAAAATAAGTGTATCGTAAAGTTGTATTCGGAAAGAATAAACCAGTTTTATTAAGTAAGGACTTGTGTCGCTAAAGTTTCGTTGAACGAAGTTACGGAAAATCAACTAACGAACGGAGACGTAACAATATTCAATTATGAAAAAAGAAATACAAGACTTATTGTAAGATCTGTGAGCATTTTGACCTTCATATTTTATTTCTAAGCCACTAGTCTAGATATATAGATTATTTTGAGATCAAAAGCAAATGATTATTATAATTTTTGTTACTTTATCCCGTTTTTCTATTTTAGTATAAATTGCAGAACATATATCTCAGGCAGTTGTGTTGATTAGAAAAGTGTACACTTATGTTTATTAAAAGCAAATATTATTTAAAAAAGCGACGATGGTTGACTCCGCCCACAATTTAATAATAATTTTCAACACATTTTCGCCCTCTAAAGGTTTTCCGTACCGGTATATAACTTCTTTCTTGTAAAGATGGCTGTCGGTAAGTCAAAGTGTTTAGTACAAAATTAAAATGTAGGTCTTGTTATTTTTAAGAAGTAAGTAATTGCTAAAAAAGTTCACTTTTATTATTAAAATAAGCCTGAGTTATTCATTTTGTTAATGGTATTTTCTAATTGATAGTGTTTTTTATTTTTCATAGGCTAGTAAAGTAACTGCCTGATCAGCACAGTACAGTAAAGGGTAAGTATAAATTATAATCCATAACTATTAGTATTACGCTATAACAAATAGTCAGTGCGAAGAAGCTAAAATATTAGTAATGAAAGTTAGTATTTGGGCATGAAGTAATATTCTAAGGTTTTCTAATTAGATGTAGTTCGATAAGTGATTGACACTTTAAATTAATAAATAATCGAACAGTCGTTTTTTGTTATTTATTTGCTCAGATTGATGATGGTGATACATCATAGGCTGATAGTGATACAGTGATATTTACTGGTTTATTATTTATGTGTGAGTAAAAATAATCGTTGTAAAACTTAAGACGCCTTTTCAATTTTGTATCTAAATTATATATAAAAAAAGGCTGGTGTCATTACTTAACACACTGAGCAATTTCAGTTTATCAATCACAGTTCTTCCCTAGCTGGTGTCAAGCTATACTACTAGTACTGCTATTAATGTTATTTTTTCAATGTGTGGTCCTATCTTAAAGAATAACAATATCTAATATTTTAAAAACCTGTGTTAGAAATATTATGTTTATCATTGAATAGAGTTGTTTAAACATTTGTTTAACAACAAATAAAAGCTTGGAATGGTCTATTCTTTCATTGGGGGTGTGTCTGTGAGCCAGACTAGTTTCAGAGAATTCCACTCCTCATCAGTGACCCTGGACACTACCACCAATGAAATATCAGACCAAACCAAGCCTTTATAGTAGTGAGGTATTGAAAATTGAAATGGTGTATTTAAATGTTTTACACTAGCTGCCCAGTGTCGGCTAACAATACGAAGAATTAAATTGTGGTGAAATGCTACAAGTTCTTCAAATACCTATAGAAAAAAAGGTTTCTTTTTTTGTGAGTGTAAAACACTTAAATACACCATTATGTTTATCAATATTTGATCTAGCATTATTTCCATCAACAAAATAAATTTATATATATTTCATAGAATTTTAAAGGAACAGAAAGGAGCTTATAAGCTCATCAAAGATGTCCCTTCCAGCTCCCAACTATAACCACCCTTTACTACTCATGTATTCATCCAATCTTTTCTTGAACTTGGTTAAATTTTTAGCTTTTACTACCCTTGAAAGTAGCTCATTCCAAAAGCCAACCACCCTGTTTGAAAAGTAATATTATCTAAACTGCAGATGGCTCCTACGCTACAAATTTTTTTTATTTATGATCCTTTGTCCTATTGTTTTCACTGCTAAACACAAAAAAGTTTGATAGATCTATATTATCAATACCCTTATAAATTTTGAACACCTCAATCAAATCCTCTTTGACCCTTATCCTCTCCAGAGAAAACAAGTTTAGAGATTTTAGTCTCTCCTTATAGGATGATTCCACCATCCCAGGTATCATCCTA